TAAAACTAACTCCTCAAAAAATAATTATTAGTTGAACTTACTATATGCTTACTCTAATCTGTCTGGAAACTCCAGTTCTCATCATTTCAGCCCATATGCTCATCTTTCCTCCAGTGCTCTGGGAACAGAGATATCTAGAAAATCAAATTAACTCTGAGGTCAGAGAAGGAATGCTCAGAGTTGATGCTTGAGGTATGTTCTGCGTCCCAGGAGTCTTCACTTTTCTGCATCTTTCATTTCAACTGGGATTGTTGCAGCATTAAGTTGAAATTTCTGAAAATTTCACTGTGTCGCTAATGGTAAACAGACCTTACCTGCAGACTCTGTGAAGTGAACCTGCATTCAGGTGGACATACATTTAATGTAAACTTCAGTAGAATCAAAAGGGAAGCTGTAGACTTTTTATGGAAAATGAGTAAAAGAGAGAAAAAAAAATTTGCTAAAACCCACAAAAGCTATAAAATGAAAAGGTGGCACTTCCCCTTGTGAAACCTGTAAGCAAATTCCCTGTTTTCTCAGTGAAGTAGAAAGAACTGCAACACAAAAATATTTAGGCCAGCTATGTAAAAACATTTCACAATTTGACAGAAGTTTCTTCATTTTTAATCTGAATAATGTGAAATATGACCCATGTCCTCTGATTTTTTTTTTTTATTTTACATTGTTTTCAAAGCTCAGTAAAATGGAATATGTATGTCTAAGTATGCCTTACACCAAATTGCCATGAAGTGCTCATAACCTACACATTTGCAGATGACATCTCTTGCAGGTAAAGTGGTTCATCCAGATACAATGCTGAAGTGAGACATGAGCAGCAATTGGTTTTTCTGATTTCTGAAACATACAGTTACTCTTGTATATAAAAGGAAGCTGTATGTATGCCAATAACGTGTTAAGAGTTGAAAATAATTTACTGTCATAATTTCACCGGGAAGGTCTTATAAATTCATTTAGCCTTTGCGCTAGCATATCACATCATCTTTAAGATCTGGTATCACAGATGCAGAGTACCTGAAGCATACTGTTGATGAAGATTCTGGTTAGTGTGTTCAGCATTAATTTTTTAGCTGCTTTAACCATGAAGTTAAACGGATGTAAATTTCTAGAGACTTTAAGATATGATTCTTAGTTTTTCTGACAGAAATAACAAACATGAGTCTTGAGAGACTTCAGAGTTCTCCTGGGCCACACTCACCATAAAGTAGGATCCCCTGTGCTTTTTCTGACTAGTTGAGGCAGACACAAAGAAAGGTGAAAGAGAGGAGGAGAATGAAATTAGGTATCGCCTCCTCTAGCTTCCTGCTTGACCACTTGCACCTCACAGCTTCTCTGCACTGTGTGATGCCTTCTCCTTTCAGCTTACTTGTGTATGCTAGATGCAAGGAGCTAGAGAGATGCTGTACTGTTCTACAGTCTTTTAGAGGTATATGCTCTTTTGCTATTGAAATAGAGTATCAACTTGCAGAATAACATCAGACCAGGACATACCTGTTTGTCCATGATTAACTTTTCCGTTCTTCTACTAGTGCATCTGTAATGAGTAATGGACTTACCAGTCTAAAATTTTCTTACAAGATGACTACATCTGTAAAAAACATGGCAGAACTTGAATTTAAATTTGAATAAAATTAATCTGAATGCTTTTCTGAACTGAAATGTGAAAACTGCGTAAAGTAGAATGGCAGTTTTAGATGATTTCTTATGAATGAGAAATGGTTTTGCAGTTACTCCCTAACATAGTTAAATTCACAGCAATTAATTGTGGCTGTTGGAATAATTTTTCTGGGTTGTTGTCTTTCTTTTGCTTGCCATAGTAAGACTGTCTTCACTCCTTTTGTAGTGTCTGTGGGGAAAATCTAAGATGATTGCTTGTTTAAAAAGCAAGTCTTTCCAGTAGTTGTAGATGGATATTTTAATTTCAAGTGGAGTCAATACTTCAGATACCTGCCTCAAGCCAGAGGTCTGCCTCGCCTCCTGTATACCAAAATGTAGTTTTGGGGCATACTTACAGAAGTTGTTAAGACCTTGTTAGTTTTACTACAGTGCAGAAAATATCTTTATGGGAAAAATAAGGAGATACTTCAAGGACAGTTTTAAAAATATTTTTCACAACTGAGATGTATTTGTGCCACAGTTGCTGTTTGATTGATAAGAAAAAGATTTACTTGAAGATTTAATTATAGCATGTTGAAATCTGGGTTCTCATAGATGCTATTTAATATTTAGATTTAATGCTTCTAACAAATTGTTCTGGATATGTTGTGGGGTTTGGGTTTTTTGTTTTTTTGCTTTTCGTTTTTGAAACGGTTTTCTTCTTGGTCTTTGAAGGACCTGGCAACTTGGATTAAAAAAAGTTGAAAACTTTGTGTCACCAATGAAAAGTTTCAGAAACTGTGAGATGTATTCTTTATAGTGCAAAGGGGTTTCTATGGGACAGGTCTAAGATTTCAGAGACCACTCCAAGGCTGAGGAAGTTGGCTTGACAAAAGCATAGGGGTTTAGTGGGAGGAAATGTATCCTTAGTGCAACCAGGAGAAGTGGTGGGTTTTTTTGTTGCACCCTTGTGATCATTGCAGTACAGGTAACACTTGATCTCTCCAGCTGTCTGGAGGCTTCCATTGCCAAAGACCCTGTTGTAATTGTTCATGCTCTAAATTCTTAAAATCCAACCACAGATAACTTACACGTATAGATTAAAGTGTATTTTAGCCCTCTCTTTTTGTAAGGTATCCTTAATTATAATGTTGATAGACTGATTATTTTCCCTCCTTTTTATATGATGTTTATACTTGATGGTTAACAGAATCAGTTTCAATTGATAAACAGGTTCTTGTTACAAAAATATTATGCTCCTTTGATATCCTCAGAAAGAGCAGACTAATTAAATGTCACAGAAAATGCAGAAAAGTAAGACTTTTGAGTAGCTGAAGGATGAAAACATCTTGAGTTTTTAATGCAAACTCAGATTCAGCATTCTTACTGTGGCTTTGGTTTTTGGGGTTTTCTTTCTTCCCTGCCAATTTTTTTTTACTCCAGAATCTTACTTTTCTTATAACTAAAATACAGGTGAGTATTTCACTCTTCAAAATCTGTATATTCTATATATTTTGGTCTGTGATTTCACATTTTAATATTATAGAAGTTTAGCTAAACAGCAAAGTATTCAGGCTTCTTTCACTGATGCCACATATTTGTAAATATTCCTTCCCCTTCTTACGCACCACATAATATTTGTCTCTCAAAGGTTGGATTTGTTGTTTCAGGTCATTCTTTAAAGCTTGCTTTTTTCCATATTTTCCTTTTCCCTCTTTTTTGGGGGAAAATGGCTGACAACAGCTGTTCCTGGTTAGTCTGTTAAGAGAATCTCACATTTTGAACAGCAGTGTTGATGTGTGAGGTTTATTATGCACTCATAACTCCCAGTGGGTGAATTTTAAATGAGAATTTTGATTCAACAGTCATGTGGGAATTTATGCATGCCTTTAGGTGGGAAAGGAGGGCAAAAATGTGTGAACTTCCCATGGAAATAATGATGAGGGTAGTGCTCAAAGAAGCAAAAACTGTGAGTCTTGGGATTCTTGCTGGTAGTTGAGAATAGAATATTCTACCTCGTAGTTTAATAGCAGAGGGGGTTTCTTTTCTAGAAGGCTTTATTGACTCAAGAGGAAAGAAACTGTTCTCTTACAGGCTTTAGTTTCAGAAAGAGCTGTTTTCTGTGCAGACTGCATTCCTGTTCGAAGTACAATGAAAACCTTTCCACTAATCATCTGGATTCATGATTTCAGTTGCATGTCTTCCTGTCCTCTCTGCCCTCCTGCCAACGTTCCCAAAACTGCAAAGACACAAGCAGTGTAACTAAAAGCATGAAATGTAAAATAGGAAGTTAACATCAACAAACTTTGCATTTATCTTTGCTAAGAGGGGGTGTGTGCCACCGCTTCTGCAATGATGTAACTGTTAGGACTGTTCTGAGGAGAGGAACTCAGGGATAGTTTGGTTACTTAGACCCAAGCTAAAAGAGTGGTTTCAGGAAACTCTATGGCTTTCTCAAGAAAGGGTGAAAAACTGGCACAGGTACTGTGCCAGTACATCTCACCATTGTACAATGGTGAGATATACCAGTTTCAGAGTATAATTTTTGTGACTGGAGTTGTAAGGCACAAGTTTTCAGTTAGTTATACTCCACGTGTAAGTGTGCTAGTGCTGTAAAAACGATACAACAGTTAGCTGCCTGTTTGCTGTCTCATGAAACTGTGGTCACACTTGAGAGGAGAACTTTGTTTTGTGGCCAGCACATTGGACATAGATTCAGCAGGATCGAGG